GAGCTCATCCCACGACAAATGGATAAGGGACAAACTGAATTACCCAGCACACTGGACTCCTCTCAGTCATAATGGAGGGGGATGCACAAACTGGGGGACTTGAACTTGGAAAGGGCACTTGCCCTCTTCGGAGCACATAGAACTGTGTTTAGATCATACAATTGTATCCACAGCTTCTGAAGGCTGATGTTCTTCCCTAGCTTGTGTCTCCTCTTTATACAACAACAACAACAACAAGAAAATGACAAACCGCAAAAGGAACAAGGACAAGTATTCACGAAGAGGTTTTTAAAAAAATCTTCAAAATTATTAATTGCAGGAATAATCACATTCCCAATAAAGAATGAGGCTGGGAGGGACATTTATCTGAGACAGCTCAAGTGTGAGGCCTCACGATTTCTCTCAGTCCCTTCCGGGTCTGGCTTTTAAGAGAGGCTTTAAGATATAGATCCCATGGGAACCTGTTCCTTTTGACATTGACAACTTGCTTCGCTGCTCAAGGAGAGCTCTGAGTTCAGGTTACATCTGTGGAGGACCCTCCCTCTGCAGATGGCCAGGTGCTCTGCTCACATCAGCCTCAGGGAGGGTGCCACTGCACTGGGGTGGCTGGGAACACCACGACAGAGCTAGGAAGGGACTCCGCAAGGCCACATGGTCCACTGTCTCAGGAGATCAACAGCAGATGCCCTGTGCTTTCCAGCGCATTGCCAGGGGGCTTGGGGGTGGCCTTCTAACTCTCTCTTTCCTTCCAAGTCTCTGATTTACAAAAATGATTTGTTTTAATTAAGAAAACAAATACAGGGCAGAGGAGTTTAGAAGCAGGGGCACTTGTTTTGAAGGGAAGTGGCCCAAACCAAATAAATAGCAACTGCTTTCAACTCCATCTTTAGGATCCTGTGATGGAGCCCAGACTCCTCACACCACGCTTAGCCTTGAATCCTCAACTGTACTGTTCACTTTTAGACTCCGTCAGTGAACAGAGACTCCAGGCTGTGCATGCCTCTCGGGCCTCCCAGCTGCCAGGACGCCAGTTTCCCCATGGATGGAAGGTCTGGGACAGACCGTGGGAGCATCTGCTTTGGTGCCACAGCCTGGTGACCAGGCCTGCCTTTCCTGGGGACTCCAAGATCCTCAGGTCCCTGGGGCAAGTTGCTTAGACTCCGAGAGCTACAATTCCACCTGCAAAAAGTCACCAAGTTCTGAAGCAATTAAGTCGGTGCCTGAGGGTTTGTGGGGCCCCTTAACCCTTGTCCTCACATTAATGTGAGCTCGGCATATCTCTGCCCCGTATGACTGGGTGATTCTGCAAAGCCACGGGCCCAAGGCTTATTCTACCTTATCTTTTCTAGCCTCAACCTGGCCATCAGGGATTAGAACATCGCTTTTTTGTGTTGCTTTTTTTTTTTTTTTTCCCAAATAGAAAAGAATTCCCAGCAACACCATCCCTAAGGGGAAGGTAACCAAAACGATACCAATAAGAGGGCTGCCTACACTGGCAAAATAAACTAAAGTGGTCTTTGTCCCACTGTCCCAGGAACAGTCATGGCTCCATTCCTCAGGCACAGAGGGACGGTCCCTTCAGTGCAGAATTACGGGTTCAGAATCTCAGAGGAGGGAAGGACTGTGACCCCAGACTGGTGACTCCCAGCTGTTCCCAGTCTTCTCCGTGCACCTTTCTTGGTGTGTACGTGCATACTTGCACCTGTAATTATACACACTGGCGCACGCACACACGGAATTTCTTACCACGGTGCTGACAACGCCATGCTTGTTTCTGGGATGCTACTCACACAGCTGGGAAAAGCCAAGGCAGTAGTTTCTGCTGTGGTTTTCGGATGGGACATATGTGAAGTAATTTGTGTAATCTGAGGGAGCACATGGGTTGGTTGTGAGCTCGAACGGGTGGAGGAGCTCTCGGCTCTGTGGCTGCATCATAAATATGCATAAGGAGGGCCTGCCTATATGAAAATCATGGGTTCCATATTTACGGCATGTGGAACTGGGTGGGGACTGGGGG